CTTTGTTTCAGGACTTCCAGGATCTGTGATAAACTTATGTATGTTATGAATGTCCAGAAGGCTCATGCAACATTCAGCACTTCCATCAGCAATTTAATCAAAGGATCTTTTAGTCATGAAGCATCTTCCATAGCATTCTAGGGAACCTTCCTGAAAAGCACTTGATTAAGCCACAGTTACCTCCAAGTAACCTCTTCAAAAACACAAACACCCCTGACACAGGGCTAATGCTTAAGATTTTGCTGGTTACTGATAACTCTAGCACAATGTTTCTTTTCTTAAATTTTAATTAAATTATTTATTGGTGGTACAAGGGGTGAACTCGGGGGTCTCCCACATACTGGTGAGTGTTCTACTACTGTACTATTTCCTCAGCCCCAGATGTTTCCAATGCTTGTTTGACATGACACAGAGAAAACAGGGGTAGCACTAGGGAGACAAGCATGTAGGGAGATAGGAAGAGAGATCTGGACGGCTCACCACTGTGAAGAGTTCGGTCGCAGGACATGAAGAAGAGAAGCAGGAGGACAGAAGAAAGAAACATCTGGGTGCTTTACAACCTGGCCTCAGACTAGCTCCCAACATTCCTGGAAGGCCAAGGTCAGCAGCAGTTCCTAACCTGACATAGGTTTTCCTAACCTATGTCAATCCGACGTCAACACTGAAAAGTCCCCCTGTCACTCTCCAGCCCCAGACTCTCAAATGAACTGGAAACAATGAAGAGAAACAGTCACTCATTGATCTGGTTGGCAAAGGTGCAAACAACTCCACAACATTCATGAAAAGGGTCATGAAGCCCACATGCTGTTTTCTCACAGTAGGTCACACACATCATGCCTAGTAACACTGAACAACTGTCCCTGCTCTTACCAAAGCATCAAAGACGAGGATGTCATACTCATTACTTTGAGAGTGTTCCATCATGATGTTGAAGAGGGCATTGAGAGTGTCCAGAAGAAACTGGAAGAGGAAATATTGCATTCAGAAAGGGGGTACGTGGCCCACGAATCTCATCCCTATGCATCTTTTTGAGAGATCAGGAGCACACATCCACCACATGTCAGGTCCAAACGGTAGAGATGGCCCTACAAGCCCTGCATTA